TTCTTTAAGGCAGGGTTGTTTTTCTGTTTTATTATGAGTTAGTTCGATAATCTCAAAGTGAGCACAGTATTACTAAACATAGAATTTTTTTAAAAGACTGTTTTTCCCCCTTTTGTATACACGTGTGGCTTTTTAATGTTTTTCTTAGTCATGAAATTTTACTATAATTCTTGCTCTTGTGTATGGTGTGTGTGGGTGCGTTATGTGTGTGGGTGCGTTATATACTAATATAGACTACAAAAACACATGTAAAAACATATGAATATAAACAATAAACATATACATACACATATAGACATACAAGATAATGAATATATATGTATATACAGTATGTAGTTATTCTTCAGTATCCTTGGAGGATTGACTCCAAGATCCCATCCCCCAGCGGATACCAAAATCCATGGATGCTCAAGTCCGTTATAAAAAATAATGCAGTATTTGCATATAACCTGTGCACATCTTCCTACATACTTTAAATCATCTCTAGATTACTTACAATCACTTATACAATGTAAATGCTATATAAATCGTTATGGTTTTTTTATTTGTATCATTTTTATTGTTGTATATTTTTTTCTTGAATGTTTTCAATCTATGGTTGACTCCCTTAATGCAGAATCCACAAATAGGGCCAACTGTACACATACACATCATACCAGGAATTACTGTGAAAGGCCATACATACTGAAAAGCATGGCGAATGTCACACTTGGGACACAATTCACGGCTGTCAGAGCCAGCAGGTAGTTATCATGGTAGCTTCTATAGTCTTTGATAGGGGTGGGGAAACTATCCCAAAGGTCTCCTAATTTATTCCCCTGTCACCTTCCACGCAGCAATACAGCAGTAAGGGCTTCCTGCTACTTTTGCACCAGACAGCAAATGTGTTTGGAGCAGTCTAATTATTACACTAATAAATATTCAAAAATGTAGACCATGAGAGTAGCAACAAAAGAAATGCATGACTTTAAGTTGAAAAAAAAAAGGAAGCAAGATCATACTAGAGCAGAATTCTTTGGGTGAATATCCTGTAATCTACTGTCGACCAAAACAAATTTTTATGGAGCAATAAGACTACTCAAGTAGCCACTTTTATGACAATAAACACCCAAAACAGAAAAATCCTTTTGTAACATAATTACTGACAATATAGAGAGAAAGTAACCATTTAATCCACAGCATGTCTTCTGTACCACAAGAACTCAATAGCTGACATCAGATGGGGTATGGCCAACCTAGCTCTAAAAATGAATTCTGGAGGATGGAAGTCAGGCAGCTCTCTGGGCTGGGCTTCGGATCCTAAGCAGGTCTAACAGAGCCTAAGACTGTTGACCTTCTGGGCATAGGGCAAGGCCCATCTGTTTACTTGCTTGCTTTTGGGAGGAGTGGTTGTGGTAGATGAGTTAAGGCTGTGGTTATAGGGCGTTGCCAGTTATTTAATTTTAATATTTTTACCCTTACATTTTGTACACAGTTAAAAGTTGAAAGCTGTGCATAAATTGCAGGCTGAAAAACAAGTAAGTGTGAGTTTGAAAGGAAAAATAAACACTGGGCAAAAATATAAGCCATTTCCAGTCTATGATAATACAGTATTTTCAAATAGAAAATGACAGAGAAGCAACTACAACCTATTTCAGACTTATTTAAAAAATTAAAGTTGTAGCCAGCACAGTCGCTGATGCCTATAATCCCAGCACTTTGGCAGGGGTTTACTTGAGGCCAGGAATTCAAGATCCAGCCTGGACAACACAGTAAGACCTCATGTCTACAAGAAAATTTTTAGCTGGGTGTGGCAGCGTGCATCTGCAGCCCTGCCTACTTGGGAGGCTAAGATAGGAGGATCCCTTGAGCCCGGGAATTTGATCTATGATGATGCTACATCAGTTCCACCTTGGTGACAGAGTGAGACCTTGACTCAAAAAAAAAAAAAAAAAAGCTGTTTTCTAAGCAGAAAAGGTAATAATGGTGTTGAGATTTTGAATGAAATTGTCTTGGGATTTTAGCTCATGTTCATTAATCAACATGCAACTGGCAAGTAGAAAAACTTATAAACACAAACTTTTCAAATGAGTTTGTGCCATTACTAGTTTTCTAGTTCAATACACAATCTACAGCTAGATTTATGAACTTGACTGTTTCTCTCACAATATAAAAAAAACAAACCATTTGATGCTCCAATTTAATGGGATCACTGTAATATTATTAATTTGCAAAAACATAAAGTTCCATGCTTTCCATGTTGTATAATGGAAAAAAATGTCCAGGACCTTTATATGTTCATCTACTTAACAATACCCCTTCACTGGGTAAGGTTACTCCAAACTCTAGATTAACCAACACTGGCTTGAATTCAAAATGCTCTCAGCATAGGCCTAGAGGCCTAAGCACTTATGTTGTCTCTGCCAAGACAAAACACACCTATATTTAAGGCCAAATTATTTCACTAAGTTGATAACAGCCTGCTTCATGATATACTGTAACATCTAAAACTCACTGGAGCCTGTTTAAAGTGCCTAATTTCCCTGCACAGGAGGCAGGGAAAATAACCCTGAGCAACATGTATATTTTCACATGACCAGAACACGATGGATATTACAGGCCAGACGCATGCTCTTCAGAATGAACGTCAAGCATCCCGATTTGTTCTCCCCTTGGCCTGGGGAGAGTGAGTGCACTAGTGTTTGCAGACCTTCCCTTTCAGCACACACAGAGGCTGCAGCTGTAGTAAACAACCACCGGCCAAGAGTTGCTAAGGTCAAGGTCTCAAATGCTAGACCAGGACCATTTCCTCCCAAATGATAGTCATTTCTGAAAAAAGAACTTGGGGGGGGGGGGCGGTGTGGAGAATATTAAGGACTCATTAGCACAATTTTTTTCAATAAATAGTAATAAAAAGCATTCCACAATTAAGTTCAGCTGACTGCATTGATAAGTAATACATAAATAACTGAAGGATTTCAAAAATAAACAGAAAGCCTGAAGAATGTTTTGTTTAACGTGGCACAGTTATGTTTGTTACAGGGTCTTAGTTCAAAATTATGAAAATTGTATGTGAAAACATTTCAAATTTCAAATTTCCCCAGTACATTTCATAATAGTTATTAATTGGTAAAATAATAAACCTCTTTCCTAATTTTTATATGCTCAAATTGCTCTTTCCCCAACTCAGAGGAGCTTAATATACTCAATCTAGTACGAAGATTGACCAGTCTGCAACAATAAACATATAACTTACGCAACTGAAACGTTTGTCCTTCAACATCCTATTTCCACCATGCTTCTACAGTTTAAAATTTTCTATTCTAAGTATAGTCCTTTATCGGAACCAATTTCTACGGGGTTTTAAAAAATGCACACAACATGTGAATGAGGTCTGAGGACAGCACAAGCAAGCTTTTTTCCTTGAGGGAGGGGGTCCACTGTTTTAATTAAATGTCAGTTCTAAAAGCGTTTCTTAGAAGACGATATACACCCACTCTTCAAAGTGACCACTCCTATTCCCATCACAAAACGCTTCTTGCTAAAAGCCACCAAATTTATTTCAAAGTATTTACTTATCTAAACAACTCTATCGTCCAGTAAGAAAAGGGCATGGAAGCGTCTAGGTGGTTTTGCAGAATGACGTGTATTTGATTGGCAGATGTCTACCGAAGTCACTAGATGCACACGCACTAAATGTAAATAGAGTTGCTCGTCTCTCTGATGTTACAGGGAAACAGAAGCTAACGCTGGTGTAAAATAAAATATCAGAATGCTCGGCCGAGAATTCCATTAGCTAGTGGAATTATTCAAAAGTATCCATACAGAACGACACTTAAGCCATCTACACAGTTAAATTAGAGGGCTGACAATACTAACTACACAAACTGTTTATCCACATCACACATTCCGTTGTATTAATACTCTTTAACTCAACAGTCAGGTTTTATCAGCTGAAATAAGACTATTACTATTAAAGTATGCAAAACTCGAAGCGCAGGGTGAAGGGGGTTGGGAAGCTGCAGGGCATATAACAAAGGAATTGGTACTTTTTCCAAGCATTTGCCTCAAATGCACTGCGAAACAAAACTGTTGAGTGCACCCCACCCTTTTCCCCCAAAGATAAAAGTTTTCAAAGTTCTTGCAGACAGCTCTCTACCCAACAAAAGCAGGATTGATTCTCCCCGTAGGGGAGCATCTAACATGAACACCAACTAATGTCGCGGAGGTCAAGTCCGAACCCTCAGAGTGAGCTTCTAAGGCAAGAAGTGGCTCCCAGGCCGGCTCTGCGGGTTCCCGGCCCAGGTGGACGTGCAAAGTTGCCCCTTGTCAACTCCGGCCAGGTCCCCCGTAATTGAAAATAACAGCCACCGGCCAGCCCCTGGCTACTTGCATGGACCAGGCACTGTAGCAAGTGACAGTTACACATCATTACGACCAGAGACAATAATGAATGTAGCACCAGGAGCACTATTCATGCCAGCAGTGTCATCTCCGCCTTAACCCCTTCCCCTCCACTCTCTCCAGTGCGCACACACAGCCCACACGGCCCCGGTGCGGAGCTATTCATCCACCCCGCTCGAGGTCGGGGGGCCAACTACTTCCACAAGCCCCCCTCCCCCCCAAGTTCAGCCCTGGGGTTTTATTTCTCATCCTTGGCAACTGTCAGGCAAACACTGCAACCAACAATTCCACTAGGGGTAGAAAAACATTTGCTTAATTCACGTTACTTGATAACTTCTTCTGAAAAAAAAAATTAGGGGAGGGGGAAAGAAACCTCCTTCTTTCTTCTCCACGAATCCGACCGACGCTACTTGCTTTGCAACAGCATCGCCCTTCCCCGGCCCCCTCCCGCTTCCCAGCACTTTCCCCCTTTAAGAACACAGACCAACCAAAATGATTTAACTTGAGCAGATGACAGAAGGAAAATAAAACACGTTAAGAGAATACGGTCTGATTTGGGATGGCAAAAAAAAAAGAGGGGGTTGTTTATTTTGATAAGAAACGGAATCGGCACAGACCTGAACAGAAGCTGCAGAGCAGGAGAAATTGTTTTCTTTCCCTCACACAGAGTCCCCCTCTCTCTCCCTTTCTCTCTCTCACACGCGCGCGCGCGCACACACACACACTCACTCGCACACACACGGCGTCACCCGCGCACACGCACACGCAGAGCCTCTCAGCGGCTCTCTGCAGTTCTCAGGAAATGAATGGGGGGCAACCCGGGGAACTGTTGTACTTGCAAATGACTTACCCGGATCACATGATGCGCTAAATGTAGGGTGGGCCGGTGGGTGGAGGCTGCCGAGACGCGAGCCCCGGTCTAGTGTGGGGAGCCTCGCCAGGCCCGCATCGAATTACCCCGGGGCCCAGCCGAGGGGGTTGCAGGACGCCGCTTCTCCTCCCTCGCAGCCCGCAGCTCAGGAAACCGGAGAGGCGCTTGGGGTGGGGTGGGGTGGGGTGAGGTGAGGGGGGGCCGAAAACAAGAAACCCCCAAACAAAAGAGCTCCGGGTCCTCCTCCCCAGAAACAAAGCCCCGCCGCTGCGGGCGAGCCCCGGGGTGGGGCCGAGGGCGGGGGCGGCGGCGGGGAGGGGCTCGCTCAGCAGGCGCTAAGTCGCTTTATTGCCATAAAATGGGGCCCCCGAGCCGCTCCGCCCGAGGATTAGGAGGCGGGATCTGAGTGTGATGGTTGAAATCCCCTGTGGGAAACTAACCCCTCCCCGCTCGCAGAGGTAGAAGGCAACACCCACTGCCCGGCCCTCGCCTCCCCACCCGGACCGCCGGGCTGGGTCCGCGGCGCCTCCACCCCGCCCCACCCCGCCCCACCCCTGCCCCCGCCCCTCGGCCCCGGGCCTCGGCAGCGCTTCCCTTTCACCTGCACCACTTTGCTGCGGCACCCCAAATAACCTAAACATGGCCCTGGGAGCTCGGGGAGTAGTCGGCCGAGGGGGCCTAGGTGGCCCGCGGGGACTCGCAGAGGGAGGGACTCCTGGAGGGCAACTCGCCGGGCAAGGACTCGCGCCGAGAAGCGAGAAAGTCCCCTCTTTTGTGTCAGAGCGCGCCAGGCAGGCTTAGGAGAATTCGGGAACCCAGAAAGCGCGCAGCCCGCTTGGGCCCCCACCCCTCGCCGCACCCGCCCGGGTGGGGGCGCGCAGTGGAGGGAGGGGGCCGTCGCCCGGGCCGTCCCTGCGGCTCGCCCGCCAGCGAACTTGGAAAGGTGTGGGCGGAGCCGGCCCGGGCCGCCGGCCGGGGCTGCGGGGCCGCTCGCGGGGACCGCCCCCGGGAGCCGGGCATCGCCCGCGCTGGGCAACAATGGGGTCGAGCAGGGGCAGCCCCGCGCGCCGGTGGGGCGGGTGGGGCAGGCGGAGGGCCGGGCGCGGCAGGCAGGGGAGTCATTGTTTGGGTTCCGGAGCGACGCACGTTGCGGGCGAGGCGGGGGCGCCCCTTCTCCCGGCACTTCACCTTGGCGGGATGAATGGGGGCGAGGCGGAAACGCGCGCCTGGCCTCGCCACCCCAGAGAAGGGTCCCTGCCCGCGCCAGTTTTGTGGGAAAGCAAGCAAACTTGCAGGACTGGGGCAGAGGAAGCGGGAGCTGCAGACCCCACCGGCGCCCGGGGGCGGCGGGGAAGGGAGTCCAGCCCCACTGCCCCGCGCCCAGAGCGGAGCCCGGAGAAGCGGGCGGCCCAAAGCCGAGTCCTTGACGCTTTCCCTGGCAGCCCCTCCCTCCCCGCCTCCGCGCCCCGGGGAGCGGATCCGCGGGATTGTGGGGCGGGAGAGGGAGGAGGCGGCCGGGCGGCCCCGCCGTTCCCGCGGCGGCTCGGAGGGCGCGGGGTCAGCGCCGCGCCGGAGGGTCGGCGGGGGCGGGGAGCAGACGGGGCGGAAGCGGCTGGGCGGGCGGGGCGCGGGGCGCGCGGCGGGAGGGGGCGGGAGGGGGCGGGAGGCTGCGGACCCGCCTCCTCACCATCCTAGGTGAGCGCGGCGCTCCGGGGACTACAGTATGTCCCTGCCCTGCGCCCCCGTCCCGCCCCGCCCCGCGTGGGAAACCGCCAGGGTGGTGGGAACGCCGGGAAGGGGAAGTTTGTGTGCGGAGAGAAAGCTTTGCTGTAATGTGGCGTGGAGTGGGGTGGGAAGAGAAACAAGGGAGAGGCCGAGAAGCAGGAAATGAGAGCGAAGGCACCAATGTGAGCCAAGGCCAGCCGGGTTCCCCATCGATGTGGCGGTTTCCAGCCACTTCAGGCCCAGTGTGCGTTCCTAATGACAACAAAGGCGGCGTCTGCCTGGTGCGTTCTCTGCCTCCTGCCACTCCTAGGTTCTGGGGAAAATGGGAAGGGTGGTCCAACCTAGAGGAGGAGTCCCACAGCCTAAGATGCGTCTTAGGAAGACAGCAGGGTGCAGAGGAGGGGTCTCTCCTGGTGTTGAGGTTTCGAAGAGGAACAAATGTCTGAAATTTGTGGAGCACTCCTCGAGCGAAGTAGCCTAGGCGGCGGGAGCGGGAAGGCACGGGCACAGCGAGGGCGTCGGGAACCCAGTGGGACTGGGGGGTTGAGGAGGCGGTCCCCGGTGTGCGGTCTCTGTTCCGGGGAACGCAGCCACAGCTCCTACTCCCTGATCCGATCCTGGGCCTACGGTAAACAGCCCTTTGCACTCTGCTACATCCCGATGGAAACGATGTAAAAACACAAGTTTGAAAAGCAGTAGACTATCAACAACTGCGCAGGATTTCAACGAGAAACTTGCCTCTACTAGAATCACTGAAGTTTCCCTCTAGGTTGGGCAGGGAGTGAAGGAAGGGAGTTTCACTGTAAGGGTGGAAGGATGCTGTAAGAAATTATGTCATTGTGGCAGTTCTTGTACTAACAGCTCTTTCTTGAATGAGGTGAGTGGCGGATAGACCATAAATATATTGTATAGCGAGTGCTTCTGCACGTGGAAAAGCAAACTGGACTCCCTTCCTATGGCAACAGCCACGGGCATGTTAGGAGAGTGATGAAAGATAGCAAACAAACTACAAGAACCCATTCCAGAGGGATAAGGAAACTAGGGGTAGGTGGAGGTTAGTACCTAGAGTCTGGATACCCTGTATGGTTAAAAGAAAAAGTACTTCAAGCATTGGGGAGGAAAAAAATGCAGATTTTTAAAATTGTTGACAGATACGGAGTAGAAATCTTAAAGGCAACTTGTTAGCTATGAAAAGCGAAAGGAGAAAGAAGAGAAAAAGGTTTAGAAGAGAGAATCACTTCGTTGTGTGGACTTGGGGTGGGTGTAAAAGAGCAAAAACATTTGGAAGAATACAAAGCATGGATGATAACGGAGTGAGATCACTAGAGGAGAGTGTGTGTGTATGTGTGTGTACACACACAGGCATGCGTTTCCAAGCCAGTTCATGTAATTCTATCTCCATATAGAATTTAGATTTAAAGAAAAGTAAGTTGTGGACGGAAGGGAAGAAGATAGGGAAAAGTACACTACCTTGGCAAAGGTGTGCATTTTTAATGTTCAGACCTTTTTCCTCTCTACCTCTGTGTTTGCAGAGATGTGAAAAGTCAGAAAATGTAAAGATGGCAAATTTATTTCAATCCTTAATCAGGCAGACCATGTAAAAGAATGTGTAGTGAGAAAGTACAATCATAGAATTTGGGGTTTGAAATTATCTGTCGAGTCCAATACTATATGGCTTCAATCCTGTTTAAAACCAAGATGATTTTGATAAAGAATGATAACCCATTTCCCTAACTCTATATAAAAACTTCACTTACTTAGTCTTAGATAACCAAAAGAAGGATGAATTATGAACAAGGTAAAGTTTGGTATTCTGAATTGCTTACACATAACACATGCATTGAATTTCTTTTACCTAACACATTGTCCAGAAAAGAAAACCACACCCAAACACCCTCAAAGCAGATAAAATATCTAATTCTAACAACAGGAAGATTTACAACTAGAAATAATGTTGTTAATATAAAAGTAAATGTTACCTGCCGACAAACTTTTTGTCAGTTCTTCTTATACTCAACCAGTGGTGATACTGTCTTTGAAAAATTAGTGGTTAGAAAAATCTTTTTTTAATTTTTTATTTCTATTTATTTATTTATTTATTGACACGGAGTTTCACTCTTGTTGCCCAGGCTGGCGTGCAATGGCATGATTTCACCTCACCGCAACCTCCACCTCCCGCGTTCACATGATTCTCCTGCCTCAGCCTCCGGAGTAGCTAAGATTACAGGTATGCACCACCACGCCTGGCTAATTTTTGTATTTTTAGTAGAGATGGGGTTTCTCCATGTTGGTCAGGCTAGTCTTGAACTCCCGACCTCAGGTGATCCGCCCGCCTCGGCCTCCCAAAGTGCTGGGGTTACAAGCGTGAGCCACCACACCCGGCCGGAAAAATCTTTTACAGTATTACGAGCATTACCTGTACCTCACCCAGATTTCTCTAAGGCAAAAACTCTGTTCAATATCTGTGTACATTTAGAGATGTAAGGCTTTGGATTAGTGAAACCGTAGATGATTTAGCACTAATATAATTTCAAGGGAGAGGGTAGGAATTAAGTCTATTTTAGAAGTAAAAGCTATGTTGAAAGATTGAAGTTAACTAGAAATGAAAATAAAGCTTATTTCCAGAACTCTGAACAAATTTTAAAATATAATCTTTATTTTTTTTTTTTCCTAAGGCCTAAAGTGAACATGTACTGTTAGGTTTTCAATGCCTGTATTTTTCACGTGTCATATCTTGGCAATAATGGGCAGCAAAGGGGAATCTTCCTGTTGAAGTATGAGAAAGTGAGAAAGACATGTAAAAGCCTTACTATAACTGCAAACAGCTGGTGATATTATGTGATTACTTGGTAAACAACATGTTTTGATTTGGGGGATGAGCTGTCTGCAAATTAGGGGGAAAATGCCATTTCATAACTTTGTTTTATTGCAATCAATACAGTTTTCAGTCCTTCTAGTTTAAATATCTTCATCACATCTTCAGATGTGTCTTCTTTTCCACCTTCCTCCAGTCACTTTCATGCAGGCCTTTTCCAGCGTCACCTCCACTATCATGTCTGCTTCCCAGCTCTGAGCTCTGCATCTAGCCCCCTTTCCCTCACATCCACTCATTATATTATCTTTAGATAGATATGTTATAATTATCTAATGTTACAATTAGGCACAATTGGAATGTTACAATTAATGGCACAAATTAGTTACAATAAAATACTATGACACATAAGGGCCCCACTTCCATATTCATACCTCATACTTTCCCCTCCAGCCTGTGCACACATGTTGCGATGATCTTCCTCTGTCCCCTCTGGAATCCTCTAAAAACGATTCCTGGATACCCCACATACATGTGTACGTATCCATCCTCTCACCAAAAAGTTATCTTTCCATTCTTGGAGCTTCTTATGGTATAATGGAAAGAGTGCTTCAGCTGCTGACTAGCTGGGGTTTCATCTTTTTTCTGATTCTCTATTTTTCCACCTACTTAAATAATATTTTCCCCACATTGAAGGATTAACATTTATTAGGTGCTTACCTGTGCCAATGGGAGATATATTGGCCCAAGTAAGCATCCAGTAAATGTTGATTCCCTCATTTATTCTTCGGGTTCTCACACCTTTCTTATTTCCATGAAGTATTGTTGGCTCACCTGTTACATGTAACCCCTTTCGGAACAAGAGCCATACTTTAATCACCTATTTAGCCTTTCTTTTACTCTCACACTGTTTTGCACATAGTGGGTGATTAATGAATGCTTCTTGAATCAATGAAAC